AAAAATCCTAACGTTCACACAGTTTATTTATAACATAATATATTATTACAGTATTCATTATTACCCCACCAAAAGTTTTGTATCAGCTTTATGAACTCAGTATGTATATACTTAAAACATGGTATGCGATGGTCAGGGTGGCTTTGTAGGAAGAGGTAGCAAAAAAGTAGTGGCAGTAAGAGTGTTTTTTGTCAACCACTTTCAATACCCAGCTCTTTCATGTGATTAAGAAGTGTCGTACATGTTGAAATTCAAAGGTCACTTGTCAAAGTAGGAAGTTGGTATAGCTAAAAGAACAGCTCTTCATATCAGCTTATGGTAGCTGTTGGAGTAGAAACTTTAGCTGAAATTATGTATTATTGCTATAATTGTGGCTATTTTCATTGCATTCCTCCACAGAAGTGCTAGTGCACTCTCTGAGATATATAAAACATTTGTGTGCCCCTCTCTAGAGCCACACTGTGTGAACATGTTATAGAAAATTTTATAAAGTTTTTTTTTTGGTGTAAGGATGTTGCACCATCTATGAATGTAGTTAACTTTAACTTATGTTAAATATAATAATTGCTCAATAACACCAATAATGGGATGTCGATGGAGTTGTGAGCCCCTATTAGCATGCCCCTTGTTCCAAACTATCATGCCACAAAGTTTGGTTGAGATTAGCCCAGTGATCCAGGAGTGATTAAGTAAGGAACAAACAGACAGACACACAGATTTTTATGCTTTATATATATAGATGGGCCTATCAAATAAAACCAACTCTAAAAGTTAGAGAATTTTTGTGTTTGCTTGTCCTATCTCTTACACATTAATGCAATTTCTCATTTAAAACTTTTTACATCTTCTGGTTCCTAAAACCTGAATCACTGCAAAAGATTCAAACATATAGGATGCCTTGATTGTATTGCAATTGTATTTATAAACAAAATAGAAATAAAATACTTCTCATTCTATCTAATTTTTCTACAGATAATAAAGCAATAATAACTTGATAAAAATGACACAAATACTTTTTGTATAGATTGCAAAATGAAACCTTTCATTCCCGGTATGATAATTCATTAGTTGAAGACTTCCACTCTATATTTTCTCTATATTAATAAATGGTAGTTGCTATGAAGGTAGCAGTTTTAGCCTGGCATGATGAGTTGTTTTGATGGACATCATGTGTTGAAGTTAGTGAAATGCTATACTACTCTGCACTCCCCAAGTTAAAATGCAACATTTTGGTGTGTAAATCATCACAACAGCTTCGAGCATTGGTGAGGTAGCCCTTCTGATGCCAGAATTAGAATAATCAGTAGAACATTTAACTGTTATCCTACTCACTAATTTTTCTACTTTAGCGATGTTTTTGGCTAAACTGAAGGTCTTAATAGCTTTTGAAAACCTCAAAAACGTAAGTTAGTTGTGTATAAAAATTTCTTAGATTGTTATAAGAAAGATTTGAGACTATGATAGTAATACATAATATGCAGGAGCCACTTTTGTCTCTTAGCCGATCCCTACATAGGAAACACTACCATGCTTAGTGATAACTTGATTTATATTACAAAGTATCTATAAATATGAAAACATGGTTATTGCTTTGCAGTGATAAAAAATATAACAACTTATTTTGACTTATCAGTAAATAAAAATAAATTTGTCCAACTTAATGCTTTTCACCTATCAAATAAATGTGGTATTTTTCAATCTGAATGTGATTTTGAGAAACGTGTGACGTGGTCAGTGACCCCTAAAGTGCAGGAATAGCCATCTCTAGTTTAGAACTAATGAACAAAGAAAGAACAACCAATTAGCAAAATCTGCTGCTTAATTAAGCAGCTACTTTTAACCAAGTATATGGATTAACTGCCTTAGTTACAGTGCACCAACATCTGAAATTACAGTGCTTTTGATGGAATATCATGACTTAAAACACTTTCGGGGTGCAGCCCAACAGTCTAGCCACTGAGTTACACCTAATGAGTTAAATATCAAGTGAATTATTTTGGTTCTTTTGTATTATAAACTTAATACTAGATAGATGAAACTGAAAAGTTAAATTGTAATATGATACAGGCATGAGAAAGATACTAAGTTTTCAAATTAACTGCACAAATCTTAATGTATAATATCTGATAAAACATTATTTGACATAAAACTGGTATGTTTTATTTTGTCATAGAATTATTGAAAACTTTACAGAGGCATATTTTAAACAAATAATATAGTAAGTGGAACTTATATATAGCTGAATAATAAGGTTGAATAATTATTGAAGTGTTTTGTAACCTGTGGCATGCAGATATTTAAATAATAGGATATTACTCTTTTGTCTGTATTAAAGTGTCACAGTAGCCAATTGACCTCTTTTAAAATTATGGCAGTGTTAGGATGAATTGTAAATTAATTATTCAAAATATCTTATATGAAATATTCATTGTCATTATATAGAGAAGTCAGGCTGCTCATACAACACCTATTTTTATTTTAAATGTGTCATTGTTATTGTGATGATATTCCTTCTATACTTTATATGGTTTTCAAAACTAGAGTGCTTGTAATGTTAAAGAAAAAAATTAAAGCTAATAGTTCAATTATTGGTTTCTTCAAGTGACTAGGCAATGATATTCAAAACAATTTCAAGTGTTTGATTATTTGAACTTAAAACATAATATCAAGATAAAACAAATTATAGAAAATGTTATTTTGCTAATATAATCAAATCTATTCTTTATTAGCTTTGTCAAGCAGGTTTAAAACAAATGACTGTGTTAAAAAGTTTCTTAAAGTATTCAATCTCGTTATAAAATGTTTAGACTAGGAAAACAGTGGAGCACACCATACAAGTAATGAAATCATGGCAGTGTTAGAATGAATTGTAAATTAATTAATTAAAATACTTAATATGAAACACTCATTATTTTCTCAGCAGGTGGCAGTGATACATCATTAAAAAAAGAAGCAAACAAATCATTCACATTTTACTAGAGAAGAGTTTGCAGGAGTAAGGCTTATACAAATACATGACAAAATTGAACAAAAAATAACTATTTAAATATCTATTGAGTTATAATAGCTAATAATGAAAAAACAGTTATAATATTTAGTGATGAATCTTTTTATGTGATAGCTTTATAATCTTTTATCCTTTGTGACTCAATTTGTTAAGCAGTCTTATAATGCCAGGACATGAATTAAAATACTTTGAATAAACCAGGAACATGTACTGCAAGCTCTAACAATTAAAGAATACAGTTTATCACTAAACTAAGCTGATATTTTGTGATGAAATTTCCACTACGGTATAAACAGGATTAAGTTACTTTCACTTTACTGGTTACTGTTTTTATGTCATTACACAAATGTCAATAAGCTTAAAAGTATCTTATTCCCATAGAATTAATACAATCATTAAAGAATTAAATAATCTAATGAGTTAAAATTTCAAAGTTTCTCTGCAAAAACCACAATATATTGAAAGATATATGTTTTATTTAAGATTCTTCATTACAAAAAAAATAATTTTTCACAGATTTTGGCAGTGTTTGCTTGTTCATTCTAAAGAAACTTGGCAAGATAAATGCAATTGTAGGTTTGAATGATTGAAATACAAAATGCTGCTAAGGAGTTGATGCTTTTTTATAAGTACCAATAAAACATCTTACTTTTTAACAGTTAAGCCTTCTCTGTTGCTATTGCTATCTTTTACATGATAACGCTGGTATAAGCATACATATTATATGTTTTTACATAAGGCACTAATATTTTCATAGTTACTGAACAATGGTACTGTGATATTAAAAATAAAAAAGTTTCCGATGTTCAGGATGCAAGCCTGGAAACAATTTCACTACAATGAGAAAATTCTAAGATTTCTTAATATTCTATGAAATAACGTCCAGTACCATAGGCACAAGTAAAAAAATAAAAACCAGATGCATGATCAATACAAGGTCCTTTAAACGTGGTACTCTAAAAGTATAAAAAAATTAAGGTAAATAAATGAATTTTTCTTAACACAAGCACTATACATTGGTCATTTTCAATGCATAAATCTTTGATAAAAAAGAAGTAAGGCTAACAAGGAACAGGTAAGCAAGCACATTACACTATGTATAATTTTGTGATTACTTTCAAACACATACACATATATATATATTTGGCTTTTGCACTGAGATAATCTTATGAACACACAACTGGATAAAAACAGGGAATAATCTATATATTTATGGAAGCTTTTGAGGAAAACATGGCATAATTAGAAAATAAAATTGTCAGCCTTTACCCCTCTTCCTCTAAAGCAGTATCTTTATCATAGAACAATGTCTTATAATTCATACATAAAATTTAAAGTTCCTTCACGGTGAGGAACGAAAACTTGTATTCTTAAGGCAAACAGCACACCTACTGATGCGAGACCTGAGATTACCAGCCTTAAGGGTTTCACTAGCAGGTCGCTCAAACTGGGCTTGTTGTTCAATAGTTGTCAACCAGAAACTGTACTTGTTAGCAAAATAATGACAAGTGCCACGAGCACCATTGCACTCAATGAATGGTGTGGCTCTGAAGTCTTCCAGACAGCTACCAGGACTAGACAAAGACTGACCACCTCCTTCAGCACCTGCTGCTGTGTGCTGTGTGTAAAAAAAGGATTCCGGGTGTTCTTATAGTATCATAATATAATTTTCTAAATTGTGAAGTATTTATCATATATCTTGTGATGTGATGTGTTCTATATATACATTTGAAACTGCTTATGATGACTATGGACTTTATATAATCTTACAATATGTGTTATAGCCTTTACAAATATGTAGACTAATGTAATGCATACACTTATAACATCTTAACTTTCAAAATTACAAACAAACAAATATCAACACAAATTTAATGTTAGAAATAATTTTATTTATATAATCTCATAACTTGAATATTATCATTGTACCTGCTTTTTTTAATATTGTGAACTGATCTTTGAAATATTTTGACTGCCAAACTGAGTTAGACTTTTAAATTTATACTAAGCAATTGGTTTTAAAAAGTATTAAATCTATTCTTTCTTACTATATTTGTTTCTATCAACACACACCAAAGTGTTCAGAGCAACAATCTCAAGTGCTTATTATATGATAAAAATGAATATTTTTTAATACAATGATAAAAGCATAAGTTTAATTTTAAAATGAATTAATAAATTATAAAAAAAGGAAACACAGTAAGTTGCAGTCTAACTCATATCAGTAGTTAATGTACCAGTATTTATAGAAATAATATTACTATTATACATTGAAAACACATAAAATATCTTTATGCATACCATTTATCATAATATTTGCTATCATACTTGCATTTATTCATTCAATGTTTAGCTTATTCTAAATTAAAACTTACAAAATACTCGTAAAATGACATCAACAAATTATAATTATGATGCTGGTGAGCCTATGTATTTTATACATATTTACTTATTTTAATACAATAGTCCAGATTTTGTCTATGATTAATTATTATGATCATTAAGAACATAGCTAAGAACATATTTACCAACTGGGCTAGCTTGGAAACATACTGATCACTTTCTTTGTACTTATAAGTTATCTGAAAACCATTTCACAGTTAAGAATTTAAATGATGGATATTCAGAAACTGCAATTTTCAGAAAGAATTCTGTGCTAATTCTTGTGCCATTCTTTTCAAAATCATGGATATTTAGATTGAATCAAATCATTAAAAAAGCATTTACATACCATTGCAAAACTGTAGCCTATCCAAAGCACACTCCAATCTGTTGGGCAGTCAGGAATACTAAGAGATTGACTGTGGACAGCAATAACATTAGCAGGGGCCTCACAGACAACACAGCGACTAATGTACTGTCGAATGGTTTCTTCTCCAACAGGCATCATTGGAATGGGAGCAATAGTGGAGAGCCAATAAGATTTATCATTTCGGCTAGCATAATTGCAAACACTGTTGAAGTCACAAAATAGGAAAGGCATTGTACTGAAGCGTCGAAGACAAGAGCCAGCATAGCCTACATGGTGTGAAAATGGGACAACAGAAAGAATAAGCAGATAATTTTAATTAAAATTCATAACAGTGTGACAATAATAAACAAATAACTTTGGATAAATATAAGAATTACTTTTCTATTAGTCAATAACAATGGAATATAATGCTAGTTATTTTTTACTGATAAGTAGAACACATTAACATTTAGTGTCCCTAACCAATCAGATGAGTCTCATACAGAGTTTAACTACAAGCACAAAGTCATATGTTCTTGGTAAGAAAAAAAGTAGAAAAATAATATGTGACCTATATGTATCTAAAAAAATTTTAATTGTAGTTTTGATGATTTTTTGCTCTTTCTTGATGAGATTTATTGAGGTTACAAACACGTCGGTTTAATTTTTATTTACATAGAATAATAAAACAACAAAATGTCTGTTAGTGTAAGACTATGTTGGTTTCAGAAAGAAATAAAGGAACTGAAAAACTTGACATAATTCAGCTAATTTCTAGTTATTTTATTCAATGGTTTTTGGAAATGACTACACTATGAAATGAAAAATATTTTACAATATCACAGCAGTAACATATAATCATGATGTTGACAGAGACAGCAAAAAAGAAATAAATTTTAAACACATTTCATATATCTATTTATTGACAATATTCTGAAAACATTATAGAACTTATTAACTAAGTAACTGTTTGTTTTAGTGCAAAGCCACATTGAGCTATCTGTTGTATTCACTGCAGGAAATAAAATGTTATAATTTTTCTACACTGAAAATAGATTTCTGGTAGATACTTACCTCCTTTCACACAAAAGCTTTTCTTGATCTTCATCTACCCTCTAATGCATTAAAACTTTTTTTTCTCACTTAACCTCTCAATTAAAGATGCTCATTTAGCATGCACTGTGCATGCTACAACCCTCCACCAATAGCAGCATGACACACATACTCCTGGAGAAGCTGGCTTCCTTTGTATTACATTTTGTGAACCTCACTTTCGAGATTAGGCATGCACACCAGAAAATAGAAAAATGCCAGAACATAAGTGAGGAGGAAGGGTGGGAACTGTGTGAGAGGAGGTAAGCATCTATTGGAAATCTATTTGCAGTGTAGGAAAATTATAACTTCCGATACAATAAATACCTCTTCTCACACAAAAGCTAGAATCCCACATTGTGTAGGTGGAGGAACCATTGTAACATAGACATAAAAAACACTCTATGAAAAGCATCCACCATGAACA